TTTTTTGTTTCGGGTGGTACCAACACATATCAAAACTGTGAAAAAGATACAATTATATGATGCAAGTCTTATTCCAAAAGAGAAAAGTTGAAATTTTCGATTTCTTTGATCACTTCCTGTGACGACCGGAAGTGACGACTGACGCTCTTAACCCAAATGGTTTTGTCTACTCCTCAAGGTTTATTACTCATAAAAGTTTGTTGTCTAAATCTCTTACCGTTTCTGAGATCTCACTCAGATATTTTCTCACTTTGAGGACAGAATAACACGCGACCGGAAGTGAATTTTGCAAAGATATTTGACGTTATTATAGGTATTTGCAATCTGAATAACATATTTAAAAATCATTTCAAATGCTTTACCTATAAAAGATATTCATGGGAAAGTAAAATACTCAAATTCTGTAGTTTTTCTCTTATAACCGGAAGTAGTCGTTTTTGTTTCCGGTGGGACAAACATATTTCGAAACTGTGAAAGACTTGCAATAATGTGATGCAAGATTTGATTAAAAAAAGAAAAATTGAAATTTTCGATTTCTTTGAACACTTCCGGTGACGACCGGAAGTACTGACGTCGAAAACCAAGGTAATTTCGAACATGTAGAAGTCATGGTCTATCATCTCTAACAAGTCTCCAGTTCATATCTTTAGCCGTTTCTTAGATCCTTCGAGGACAAAATTTCATTTTAAAATCAGAAAATTGTCCATAACTTGGCACTGGAACCGAATTTACCAAAAAACGGAATTTTATATAAAATTCATATAAAGACCTTTTATCCCTGAAAATTTCAAAGAAATTCATTGAATAGTTTTCGAGAAATCGCGTGCACAAAATTTTGTCTAAAAAAAAAAGAATAATAATAATAAGAAACAATAGAATCACTATAAGGTCTTCCGTGGAGACGGAAGACCTTAATAAGAAACAGAGTAAAAACAATATGTTCCCCAACTTCGTTTGGGGAACATAATAAGAAACAGAGTAAAAACAATATGTTCCCAAACTTCGTTTGGGGAACATAATAAGATATTTATATCACGCAAACAATAAATAACAAATTTTAAGCTTAATATCTCATTGCAAGACAAACAATTTTTAATCTTAAAAAAAAAAAAGAAAAGAAAATCTTACAAAACAGTTAAGAGTTGATTTCAGTCTTTCTGTGGCGAAATTATACTTTAAAAAAATGCACATATTTTAATCCATTAAATATTTTTTTACGTGTATTGTCTCGGTTTTAATATAAGTTTTTTTTTTCATTCTATCAGCAATCTTTAAGATATATCCTGCTCTAATTTTTTTTTTTAGATAAATAATAAAAATATTGAATATTGTACACATACATACATACATACATGTATAATCTGAAATCATGATAAGCCCAGAAATGATCGCACGAAAAAACGGGGGGGGGGGGGGGGAGGGGTCTGAGCGGCATCATTTTTGTAGCTTGTTTGATAAAAATGAAACTTTCTGAAAATTTATTTACATACTGACGCATTTTAACTTACTGCATATAAAGTATAAGGGTATGTGGAACAATTGCCAAAAACGAAAATTAAAATAATGTATCAGTTTTATCGCTGGCTTGAAGGTGAAATAGAAACAGAAATATTACAACATTTTTCTCTTAAGTAGTATACTTTATGGATTTCTGAAACTTTTTTCTCTTTTTCTTTTGGAAGATTCAATTTTAACATTTTATCAAAAGTCAGTCTAAACAGAAATTGAACCACTGACACTAGTAGTAATCATCCATTGCTATTTAGGGATGGGGGTGAGACAAGTACTTCAGTCTGTACTTACTTACAACTGTTTAAATTTATTCATTCGGACAGTCGAGCAATTTTATTGCTGGCTGAATATATGATATGAGTGCATTATTAGGCAATATTAAAGCAAATTTTAATTAAATATTACGTGTCGAGGTGAAAATGAATTTCATTTTTAAAAATAAACTCATTATTTTTTGTGAAATAATTTTCTTTAGTGCATAAGTTCTAAATCCCGATGCTACGGGAGATAACTTTCATCGCGAAATTTCATAAAAACGACCTTCTATTTTGGAAGAAAACTACTACTGAAAATCTTTTTCCTACCGATTTTATTTTTGAAAGTGAAAGATGAAATTTTAATGGATTTAGTTCAGAGTGAATTATAGATCTATTAAAAATGTATTAGAATTCACAGTTCAATGGTTTATATTAGGAAATTCAAGAACACAAATCATTACGATATTTTAGTTAATACATGCTGTTTTCAAACAAATCTTCTATTACATCAATCCATGTGGACAACATTAATATAATTTTGAAAGAAGTATAAAATATTCGTCATATTCGATGTACCGCCTATTTATATGATACTGTATGGTTTTCTGGTAGACTGCTTCTTATAAGAATCGAAATACACTGCGCACATAATTTGAATTGTACAAAAAACACATGGCAAAAAAATTTAGATAAGCGTTAAAAACTCTAGTTCCCATGACAATTATCACTGCAGCCTTTCTTACAATGACTGTTGACATACAAGTATATCTTTCTGTGATGTAATCTTTAATGATCTTTAATGAGTATATCAGTGTGTGCATGTATAATTTTTTTATATATGCACATACTCAATATTTACATTGATTTCCAGTGCCCATGCATGTCTATATACCCACTCAACCAAGTACTGAGTAAACGAATTTTAGACGACAGACACCTTCGGAACTTACGGGTTTTGTAGTAGTTACCCCATATAATATTGTTGGTTATGTGCAGATACCCGATAGGCGTGGTCATAATGTCACTAAGGAGCTCCCGAGTTGTCATTATGACCACGTCCATCGGGTATCTTCACATAATCAACAATATTATATGGGGTAAGTCACTTGTACCATAGTTTACTATAATTGTTGTCTTTACATATACATGTAAATGTAGTACGAATTTTGACTGACATGTATTATTGAAAATGTTCTTGACTTTAATGACACATGTTGGTTTTTATTTTGTCGCATATTCAAAATGTGAAAATTAAATGATTCAAACCTTTTTTCAACTTAATTTGCAATTTTTTCAATAATTTCAAACATTTAAAATTGTAAAGGAATTTGTGCATTTAGAAACTCAATTATTTAAGTCAGTTTTGATTTCTTTTTAGTTTTCTTAGTTTGTTTTTAATAGAACAATATTGGAATCATTTAAGAGATACCAACGATGGTATTACCAGACAATATTCTCAATATAAAGATTATGTCTTCACCAATATGAAAACCACGAGAATAGTTTTAAACGATAAATTGTGCTATTTTGCACTTGTTCTTGATTTGTTAAATTTGGTATATCTATCTAATACAGATGTTTGTTTTGTTTTTTTTTTTACTTAAAAGTGTGGCTTGGGTCTTTGCGTTGTTTTCTTGTCTCAACTCGATGGGCGGAGTTTATCGAAAAGTGTGATTTATATACAGATAACCCACAATTTTCACGCCTAACTATGGTTCAACTCTCCGTTACATACTTGAATGTGTCAACGGAGAGAAAATCCGTGGGTTCACGAAGGAGGATAGGGAGAAATATTATGGTGGTTTAAACTGCCACCAGTATCATATGTTGTTTTGAAATTTTTAACTTTTAAAAGATGATTGATCATGGCGATATTTTGTTGTACATTATTAGCAACATATTTACATCCACTGAATATAGTCTCCGTTAATTCTTATGAAACCAGTTCTCTTAATCAATCCATTAACGCTAAACTATAGTTAAGAAACAATTTTTCAAGACCACCTGTAAGAAAGATTTCTTGAGCAGTGGGCTCCTCCATCAATGAAACAGAACATGACATTCAGATCAATAATACAATATTTCATGTACTTAGACCCACTTTATGACGATTATTGAAACAGACATAAATATTAACAGTACAATATATGGCATATTATAATATTCGATCTTTTTCATTTGTAATGCATATCAATTTTCCATTTGTATTCTATAATCTTTTTTTGTTTGTATTCTTTATATTTTCATTATTCTAGATTTTTTTTATTTCTATTCTATAACCTTTCATTTGTATACTGTATAGTTTTCCATTTGTATTCTATAATTTTCCATTTGTACAATGCAAATGGAAAATCATAGAATACAAATGGAAAATTATACAATAGAATGCAATTAAAAATTATAGAATACAAATAAAGAATTATACAATACAAAAATTGAAAATCATAAAATACAAACGGGAAATTATAGAATACAAATAAAAACTATACAATGCAAACGGAAATTCATACATTGCAAATGGAAAAAACTCTAATATCGCAACTTTTGACATCTTTCTTTGTAAATGCGGGATTAGCGTTTGTTAACATTGCAACAAAAAATACATAACCCTCATTTTTCTGCAATAGTTGCCATCGTTCATTCCCGCATTAACAAACAAAAACAATTTGTGACAAAATAAATATTTGATGGATTTAATGTTTACTATTTTATGATCAGCCATCAATTATAAATTTTGCATCATCTATATAACGTGCCCTTTCATGCCAACCACTGTCGTCCACTTACGTATTAGGGCAAATCAGTATTTCCAAAATATTTACTTTCTGATATCCTGATATACCGGTATGCATTTTCTCAACAAAAAAATGACACCATTGAGCCACCATAAAATATCTTCGATTTTACAACCAAAAAAAAAAATGAACGAGAAATGGAATAATCATTATTGCATTTCAAGATGATTTACATGAAGACTGTGATTTAAACTTGTAGCAGAAGATTGCAAACAAGGGCTGCTAGGTAAAAATACTTGTCAATGGTATTCTTATGCAACGGAACTGCGTCTAGACAAAAGGTGGCTGGTATGCAAAATAAGGTTAACTGTAAATATAGCACGCAAAATATGAACGCAAAACAACACAAAATAGTGACTTGCTGAACTAGTGCACACGTTAGAATGGACTGGTTAAAACAATCCACAGAGAATATTTATAATATAGAATGACTTACCGAGCGCCATCGGTCAACGTTTGTGGGTCGGCTGAGTAAGTAAATAGACCAAAGTAATCAATGTCAATATAGGGAACTTTAAACTGATATGGGGACCACGTGCATGTGTAAGTGTGGTGATATACAGATTGGGCCAAAGTTGAAAGAAATGGGGCGGGGGCGGGGGTATGTCCGTACTTTCAAATTCATTTTCAAGGGATCGATTAATTGTGACGCATAATAAATATAAACAAAACACAATTAAGGACCTCTGCATACTTAGATAGATAATCTCTGGAGATTATTTTCGTGCATGAGATCTATCCTCGAATTTAAGTTATTTAATTAGGACCGTAATTTCCAAATTGTTGACTAAGTTCAAATAAATGATGAGTCTGACATAGGCTAAAAATAACTATTTTAAAAAAAAACGCATTAATTTCAATTGATATATTATATATATTAATAATTAGAGAGAGAGAGAGAGGGAGTCCGTTTTGACCTGCTTATGGTGTTCATATCTCCCAATGCAACTTACTCGATTCTCAAGAGTATGCTCTGAGTACGACCAGTTTTTAAACTGGGACAAGCTACTGACAGATAAGTTGATGTTACAGGTTTTTCAATACCCTCGTTTTAAGTCAGTATTTCGTAAATTCTATGGTCGTTATAATGACCTTTTAGCAAATATAACCTATCATTGGGTCGTATTTTGACTGACATATTTCATACCAATTGTTAGACCTTTGTTTTTACTAAAGAATGCTGAATATCCCGTCTACCCGATCAATAAAGGGATTACGGCGTGTGTGACCGGTCGACAGAGGATGCTTACTCCTCCTAAGCACCTGAATCCAACTCTGGAATTTCCAGGGTTCGTGTTTTATGCCCTGTTCACAGATTTTTATCGTTTATAGGTTGGTTTGTTTGTTTTAGATAGATCACTGTTCGTTTTCTTCACCTTTCTTTTTATAATTATTATATCTCTTAACAAAACTTATCGTTAGCTGTAGTATACTTTCGTAAATCAAAGTAACGAAGTATTTACTATATTGTAAATTAAAGTATCAAAGTTTGCACTGTATAAAATGAAAATTTCTACTATAAGATTTCAATTTTTTCATCAGTCTATTTTCAAATGATTTTTTTTTATATTAAAAGAATATATTTTTTGTCATTCCAGTACCGTTTCCAAATTTACTGTCATGCGGGATTTGAGATATTAATGTCCTAAATTTAGATTTGAAGATATATAGTAAGGGCTCATAGAAAATCAAATTTCTAAAGTAAAGTTTCAATGCATCATAGTAAATCAAATTTAAGTATCATAGTATTAAAGTGTGTACTATTATTAAAATATAGTTTATATAGCAAACTACTGTACGGTATTGTTAACCACAGTAAGTTTTTGCTAGAGCCTCGTTCCAGAAAAAAAAAGGCCGAAAGAAGTATTTTGTTAAGTCAAAAAATCTTCCATAAAAATGTCGAAAAAGATATAGATCTATTCTACCTTTGCAAAAGAGATATTTATTTGATCAAGAATAGATTTTATGTGAAGAGGTATCTCCTTCCAAATTAAATCGACCAGGAAATTTCAAATTTCAAAATTTCAAAAATCTGCATTGGAAAATTTTTATTTCATGCTCCCAATAGCACCTAAGAGCATGTAAGAATTAAGGGATATAATTATCCCACAAACACAAACAACTAATTAAGAAACTGTATAAACACTTAATCAGGAAAAAAATCACTTAGCATACTAGTGGTGTCGACATTTGTTTGAGAAATTTTGACCTACTGCTGAATGATCAATCATACGTGTTGTTTTGTATTTTTTATATGCATATTTCTTGAAATTCTTTACCTCATGATCAACAATAAGCTTTGATATAATAATGTACACGTATTTAGGTAGTGATAAATGTTTAGATACAGAGTAAAGAGGCTATAATAGATCCTTATGCTTTCTTTTTCAAGAAGGCCGAGTTCAATTTATATAAAAACGGTTCGATAAGAATTAAATTGTGCCAGGTATAAGCAGGAAATAGATTGCGTGATTTGTTATTAAGCTATATAAGCCACGGCTTATTTTCTTACCAAACTATAATAACGTCTTAGTTTTCCAAAACAAAAACTATCCTTATGAAGGCACATTTCATTTTAAAAATTACAGAAAGGTAATTTCTTACCACGGAAGAGATATTTATTAAGAGTAAAAAGTTACAACTAAGAATGAAAATTCCTCTTACCTAGTTTAAACATTATGTCATTTGAATAAATTTCGATACAGAAATAATGTACAAGTTTAAGCAAAATATATAAATTCGTTTCCTAATTAATTTTTACATCGGTCGTAGAAAAAACATACCTTCATCCTCAGATGAGCTCATTTTCTGCAGATTGTTGAGCGACGCCCGAATTTGAATGCCTATTATACGGAAGATCTACACGTATCGACGTTTTCCCTTAAATATTTTAAAACCTAAATATTCATCTGCGCATAAACCTTACTACTGTCAAAGAGTGCTTAACAGTTCTATTTTTTTTTTTTGAATTGCGTTTTAATATAACAAAACTTAGGAGTATATTTTCAGGATGTTTTTCTTTTTCAAATTTATTTATAACAATCAACAAATTTGTTTATCAATTATAGACAGTTGAAATATCATTTCTTAAATTCTATTAGTTTGATGTTGACCTTTCTTTGAATACCAACATTATAACCTCTTGTTCTTGGAGTTAAACCTATTTTTGAAAGATTTTAACCAAAATTAAACCTTGGCCATAACTTTTTGACATTTGGAGCTAGGGCTTTCGTAATTCACATATATATATAATATTTTTCTAGGTTTATTTATTATTATTATTTTTTTTTTGGTTAACCTTTACCTCCGGGTTTGACATCTTTTGAAAAACTTTTTAACCTTGCCCATACTTCTGAACAAGTTGGAGCTATAGGAAATAGTAAGTCCTCTCATTGGATACTAACACTTTTGACCTCTTGACCTTATCTTTGGAGTTAACCTAGCTACTTTTGAAAGACTACCTTGGTCATAACGTCTGAACAGTTGCTGCTAAGGCTTTCATATTTTACATGTAACAAGACCTTTCTTTAAGTATACCAACACCTTTGACCTCTTGACCTTTGATTTTAACCTACTGTTTTGAATGACTTTAATAACCAAACTTTAAGTATGGTTATTAAAGAAGCACATAAGTGCCACGTATTATTTTTTTAAAGTTAGTAACTCTAATTTTAAAGTTGGTATTTCGAACTTTAAAGTTAGAATTACCAACTTTAAAAAGAAATAAAACGTGGTTATACGTGGCTTTTCCAACTTTAAGTGAGCTTTCCTAACCTTTCTTTAGGTTTTTTCCCCTTTCTTTAATATTATTATCAACCTTATTAATGTACACTGACACAAATTGGTGAACAATTAAACTGTGTCAATTATTTATTGACTTTCACCTTCCATATGACCTTACGTATAACTTTCAACTTTAAAAGACCTTATATTTCTCTAAATCCAACTTGTATAGTTTTATAGAGGATATAGTAACTTCTTACAACGCTGTTAAATGAGAGCATCTCGACCATACCTACATGTATTTAAGAAGATACATACAATTTGTTGAGAATGAGTTTAAACAAATGAGTCCATATTATTTCTTTTCTTTTAATTTATAGGATGAATACACTACATTTCACGATAGAAAGACAAATGTGCAAAATGTATCAATTATGTATATGAAAACAATGAAAATTTTATGTATTCAGTCTTTCATTATAATTATTATATCAATAAATTGTTTATTTCTACTGTTATTATGAACAGCAACACGAGTCAAATTAACTAATAATAATAAAACGCTTGAAGCCCGAAAGGGTTGGAAAAAACAACCTAAAAGCCGGAAAATCCAAGATTATAGTTGGAATTACCAACTTTAAAGTTTGAAAAGCCAAGATTAAAGTTGGAATCAACAACTTCAAATTTGAAAAAGCCAAGAATAAAGTTGGAATTATCAATTTTAATGTTGTTTGTTTGTTGTTTAACGTCCCTCTCGAGAATTTTTCACTCATGTGGGGACGCCACCACTTGTCGGTGGAGGGCTGCAAATTTTCACCTATTCTCGGCACTCAGGGCCATTGAGCAGTGAGGGACCTTTTTCGTGCCAGCACCTACTGTGACACGGGGCCTCGGTTTATACGATCTTATCCGAAGGACCGGTCTCCACGTCCCGCACAGGGATTCGAACCCGCGACGTAATGATCAACTCCTTACATCCCGACTCTAGAGCAAACGCCCGAACCACTGCACCACAGTTGGAATAGCTAAGATTAAAGTTGGAAAAGCCAACTTTAAAGTTGGAATTACCAATTCAAAAGTTTGAATAACCAACTTTAAGTTGGAAAAGCCAAGATTAAAGTTAGAATTACCAATTTTGACAATTTTGAAGTTGGAAAAGCCAACTACCAAATTAAAGTTGGAAAAGCCAAGATTAAAGTTGGAAAAGCCAACTTTAGAGTTGGGATTACCTACTTTGAAGTTGGAAAAAGCTAAGATTAAAGTTGGAAAAGCCAAGATTAAAGATGGAATTACCAACTTTAAAGTTGGAATTACCAACTCTAAAGTTGGACTTTCTAACTTTAAAAAATACAACTTGGCACTTATACGCTTCCGTAGGTTATAGTGGTTCATAGTGATCAACTTGAAGACTTTTTTCTAAACGTCTCTCCGTAACAGGAATTTTGAAGAACGTGGCCTCATTTTGTATTACCCTTGCTAATCGTGTGTCACACTATTTTACACATTCATCAAACACAAACTACATGACAGATTGTACTATTGTATTTTGAATAACTAAACAGTACAGTTTTCACAAAGATTTCCTTCAGTCTACAATTAATAATTCATATTTTTATTGTAATGACAAAGGTGAAGATAAGAACAGTGATCAATCTCATAAATCCTACATACAGTACGAATTTGTGAACAGCGACGGACCCCAAAACACATTAGAGCATCCCCTGTCGATTGGTTATACATCCGCCGACTAATTGTATAAAGCAAAGAAGTGCTTTACTGTACATTGTAACCCACTACTCAACTTATTGGTAATAAATGCTTGTCGTACTACAAAATTAACTT